TCCGATTAAAATGGTTTATATTTCTACATTTATTACACTTAGAACACTATAAATAAAGCCCCACCCCTCTCATGAGGGGAGAACTTGAGCCTTGAGAGAGAACTTGAGGCTTTGAGAAGGAGCTTAAGTCCAGCACTACCGCTAACCACCGTCGACCACCACCGAACATCGTAGACTACCGTCGACCACCACATATCGTCGCTGACTATTGTAAAAATCCGCCGACTGCCTTCGACCACTGCCATTGTCATTGACAACCACCGATCGTCATTGAACACCACTAATCAGACACTATCAGTCGACATTATAACTTGAAAAATCTAGTAACCCTTTTCCGTTATGGGACAAGAGATTTTTGTAATCATCAATAGTGAATTTTTATAACTGGGTCAGACCCCGTGGTTTTTTCCTTTTACAAGTTTTCTACGTAAAAATCACTGGTGTCATCACTAGTTGTTTTTCTTTCATCTGAGTGTGTGATGAATTCTCGTGCAATGCAAAGACGATCATCCATTACTCTACCACCATGAATTTTCTAGCAAGCATCAAAACTAATAAATAAACAAAATGATATTATAATCAATTATGTATGCTCCCCATATATAATAGATAATCAAATAATGATTACGATTAAATATCTTAGTAAAGTAATGATTGAAATATTTTAAGAAAAAAAAGCGTTTACTCCATTTAAAATATGAGAATACAACTTTAGTTATTTAATGCCCAAACATTTTTGAATTGGCGCTCTTTCTAAGATATTAATTAAAATGGCATGCGAACAAAACACATCAAAGGGACTGAAAGAGTGAGAATTTCACGCAAAGCGTGCAACAAAACATGAATTTTTCACGTTGCATGATTTTTCATGAAATTGGCTAAAGGTAAAGTTTTCATCAATTTGGTATGCAAGAATGCTAACTCGTATTTCTGAGGCATAAGAGTTGCATACAAAGATTTCAAAATGACATAAATTGCACGCATATTGATTACCATGAAGTTGACTCAAAATGATATATAATTAATTAAACAGGAAATGAAGGAAGAAATAGTTTGATATTTGAAAATGTGGAATCACGTGCTAAAATGTGATTGAACATATCTTAACTTGATCAAAGAAGAAAGAAGCAAACTTCCCTTGATTTAATTCAATTCCTTTCTAATTTTTTCCCCTCTATCTTATTTCTCTCTTTAGCAAAATATGATTCAATGAGGTCATTTCCACAAAAAAAACAAAAAAAGGATTCAGCCTTTCTAATATTTTTCTAATAAATCCACAGTTTTTCCCAAAATTTTCAAAAAGCCATATCTCTTTCCATATTCTTCTTTCTCCCTCAAGTAAGCTTACATATCTTTAGCTCAAATAATTGAAGCATTTATCCTCTATCTTTAGGTCTACTAACCAAAATCGTTTTCCCGTATCTTCCTATTTGAGCGAAAAGAAAACTCAAACTTACATGATGAAGGTAACCACTATAGACTCTTAGTATATAGTACAATTGAGGGAAACAAATGGAAAAACTCAAGAGGAAACTTTTCATTATGGTTGTGCCTAAAATAATAAAAGGTAAGTTAGGGATTAGGCCAACAAATCATATCCATGAAGATGGAGGTGTCAAACCTTTATGCCTAACTTCAAACACCAATCTAGCCTAACATAAGGCTTGACAAGAATAGAGATGAGGCTTGTGTATGCTTGCATTCCATTTCTTCCTCCTTGGTTAACACTGGTGGTGGCTTTCCATCTCCTCTTTTTCATCATTGAAGTGAAAATAGAAGTGGGGAGGTTTACGCCAATCACGTCAACTAAAAAGGCCTTGGGGTAGATTGTCCGAGTTGATTAGGTCAATTTAGTTACCATGCTAGAATTTAAAATTTTGAATAATATTCTCTCCTTTTTAGATTTTTATTTAAGCCCAATAAGCATAAGTCATCTAAAATTTTTGCAATAAAAGGGTTCAAGCATCTCAACTTTTACAAAAGTAACCAGTGGTTTAGAATAATATCTTTTGATTACCAACTCAATTTATTCAAATTGTACTAGGAATGGCTAAAATTCCTATTCTCATTTATTTTTTAAAATATAAGGTGTAATATCAATTTATCAAAACTCAACCATTTCCAAGTAATAGGAAGTTTGGAGAAAACTCACTAACTCAAAACCATTAAGCACAAACACTATAAGAGCAGAATAAATTTAAAAAACAAACGAATATCAGAAGAAGTTTAGAACTCGCGCATTTCAACAAGTAAAGGTCCATTGTTCTACAATTCAATCCATGATAGAGAAACTTGAACAATAATCAATCTTAAATAATATGCTCAATATCAACGTTAACGGTTCAAATAATCAAGCTATGCCAACTTTATTTTGAGACACAAACTAAGCAATGTGCACCACCCAAAAAAATCATGTGCGCGGATATAAATAGCAACAAGTACACAGGTGACACTATTTATCATAATATCAACTTCTTTACCCTAAGAAATATGAATATACAAAGCAAGCAACCAAGTAATAGACATTGCCAACGTTTTACTGAAGAATTCAATGCCTTAAATGATTCTTTCCAAAGTCAATTCCATAACGAATATAGAAAATGTATCTATGTAAAAGCTTAGAAAATTGAAAAAAATATAAGGTGAAATGTAAGGAGTCTAAAAAAATAATTTGTGATACTAAGAATTATGTTTTTAATGATCTATATAATATATTATATACTAGAGAAGGTGAACAATATATGATGTATAAACTAGCAAACAAAAAAATAAGAAAAGTAAAGTGCATTAAGGACGAAAATCAAAAAGTACCTTTTTAGATAAAAATATTCAATATAGATGGGTGAGACATAGTGATAAATTTTTTAATGAATATTTTGAAAATATGATCAAATTGAGTGATCTTAATATAGTTAATAATAATAATAATAATAATAATAATAATAAAAATAATAATAATAATAAAATTTTTTATTTTTTTTTTACGATCGCTTTAGTAAAACAGAAGTTGATGAAGCTTTAAAGAAAATAAAGGATGAAAAATCAATAGGATATAACGGTGTCCCAATAGAATTGTGAAAATATTTAAGAGAATTAGGAATTTCTTGGCTTACTAAACTTTTTAATATAATTTTAAAACTAAAAAGATGCTTAAGGAGTGGCGGGAGATTATTTTGGTCACTAATTTTAAGAATAAAGAGGATGCACAAGAGTGTGCAAATTATAAAAGAATTAAGTTATGTGTCATACAATAAAATTATGGGAGAGAGTAATTGAACATAGATAAAGACGTGATACAAAGATTTCTTAAAATTAGTTTGGATTTGTGTCGGGCAAGTCTACTATGGATGCATTTATTGAGAGGTTTGATGGAGAAGTATAAAGAGAGTAAGTAGCATCTAAAAATGAATTTTGTTGATCTAAAAAAAGCTCATGAAAAAGTGCCAAGAGAAGTGTTTTGGAGAGTTCTAGAAGAGAAAGGGGTTGATATTACTTATATTCAAGTCATTAAAGATATGTATACTAGAGCTATTACTTGTGTTTGAATAGAAGGAGGATTGACCAAGTATTTTCTTATTTCAATTCTTATTTCAATTGGATTACATTTATTTCAATTGGATTACATTAGGGATCGGCTTTAAGCCCATATCTTTTTGCTTTAGTTATGGATGTTTTTATTGACATTTACAGAAGGATGTACCTTGGTGTATGTTTTTTTGCTGATGATAACCTTCTTGTGGATAAAACAAAAGAAAAAGTTCAGGAAAAATTGGAGTTATGGAGATCGGCTTTAGAGTCTAAAGGCTTTTGTTTGAGTATATCTAAAATTGAATACATGAGTGTAGACCTAGTGGTGGGGTTATAAAAATGGGTGATCAAGTCATTAAAAAAAGTGAACGTTTTAGATATCTCAGGTCAATTGTTCAAAGTGATGGTGATATAGATGGGGATGTTATTAGTAAAATTCAAATTGGATGGTTGAAGTGGAGAAATGCATCAGCCTATTGTGTGATAGAAAAGTGTCGTTTAGACTTAAAGGAAGTTTTTATAAGATAGTGATTAGACTTGCAATGTTTAATAGTACAGAATGTTGGCCTATAAAAAGATACATAAAACTAAGTATAAGTGATGTTGAGACGAGAATGCTTAGGTGAATGAATAACTTTATATTTAGAATGCGAAACAAATATATCCGTGAAAGAGTTAGTGTAGCTACAGTGGCAAACAAGATTAGAAAAGTCGTCTTAGATGGTTTGGTCACATTAAACGCCGACTATCTATTGATCTTACTAGAAGAGCAGATGTTTTAGATTTGACTTATGGTAAAAAAAGTAGAGGTAGACCTAAAAAGATTTTGGCATGTTGTAGAAAAAATGATCTAAATCTATCAGATTAAATGAAAATATGACACCATGTAAAAAAAGAAACTTAGGTAGCCGACCCCATTTAGTGGGATAAAGACTTGTTGTTGTTTTTTGTTGAAAAATTTTCTAATGTAAACAGAAATGACGGTCGAAGCAATATAAATAGGTATCATTTTGTAGTAATGAATAACTTTTCTTTAATATTTGGCAAAAGCCCACAAGCAATCGCTATAATTGTAATGTTTATGAAAAACTAAAACCCAACAAATAGTAATACCAACAATTTGGAGGATGAAAATATAAGAATGAGAGCTTGTTTAATTGATATTATGGTTTTCCTTTATGTAGGGAACCCTAAGGACGCATGTTGATAGAATTAAAAATTTTTAAAAATTATCACCTTAAAGCTTGCCTAAAATTTCTAGTTAAAACCCAATCACATGTAATATCACCAAGTCATAGATACAATCATTGAAGCATTTAAAGCTGTCATATTTGTCCTCAACTGCATTAATGAAATTGATTCTTTTGAACGAACTTGAGGATAAAAATTGAATTTTGTAGAAGCCATGTTGCTGCATGCAAAAGATCTCATAGATGATCATTGGTCCATGATTTAATAAGAAGACTACCTACCATGTCATGCTGCGGTATTCCCTCAGTAATGCACACTACAAGGTCCAGTTCAGCCTCCATTGCTTCTAAAATAGCAGCTGAAGCAAATGAAGGTGGGACATAAATAACTGATGCGTTGGCTTTAGTTTCAGCCTTCGCCTCTGCAACTGAGTTAAAGACAGGAAGTCCTAAGTGCTCAGTTCCACCCTTCTTTGGCGTCACACCGCCAACCTGTTAAATGCAAACAAGAAGAACACCATTAAATTTTTTGAAGATTTACATCCATATCACTTAAATTCTATGTATTTACATATTTAACACCTAAACTTTGCTTTGTGCATTTATACCACCCAAATCATACATATGACATTAAAAATACTATCATTTTAATTTTTAGAATGACATACGCTCTTTCATGCACGGTTAAGGTAGTAAGCATGTAAAAATTGGACTTCAGGTGTCAGACATGTAAATACATACAAATTAAGTGGTATGTATGTATATCTCCCTAAATTTTCACAACCACAAGGCATCATAACTGGTAACAATTAGAAGGCCTCTTCCAAGAACAATTTTAGATTTTGAAAATCTTCCCCCCAAGCAAGTCAAACTGCCTAACTATGCAGGTATTAACTGACCAGAAATAGAGGTATGCCAATGCCATGGTGATCCATAGGTAAATCTAGTAATTAAAACAATCGAAAAAATGAAAAAATGAGATAAAATGGCCTCACAATGGTTCATGTTTGATAAGGATATACAACAAAAATGCATAATTTAGCTGGCAAGGCAGAAGCATTTCTTCTTCTCCAACACAACCAAAGCTAAAATTCCCAGGTAACAGGCTTTCCAACACTTTCCTCACAATTTTATAGAAATAAACACATAAGGAGGTATCAAACCAGAAATAAAAATATGTAGATGAATATCTTATAACAAAATTAAGTGCAAAGTATATCTTCCAGCTTATACAATTATAAAACTACATCGTGTTGGCCCTGGTCTTTCGGAATTCATGGAAGAATACATGCCCAACAACATTGACCTTAAATTAAAAAATAAAAAAAAATAAAACATCTATTTAATGAATCCCTAATCCCTTCTTTGTGAAATATTACAAAACCCCGCATCAAAATTGAGAGATCTTACCATTTTGGTTCCGTACTCGATGGCCTGCTCTGTGTGAAACGTGCCGGTCTTTCCGGTGATCCCCTGGCAAATAACACGCGTGTTCTTGTCAACAAACACGGCGGGTTGAGGCGTCGATCCAAATTGGCGGGATTGCGATGCCAAAGAGGAAAGCGATGATGAAGCCGAGTTCTGCGGAGGGGAGATCCTGTAGGCTAGAGATCGGATCAGCTTCGCCGCTTGCCGAGCCATAGCTGAATCCTCCGCGACTTTTTGACCTCCGTGAACCCCCGGTGCACGAAGAAGAAGGGTAGAGAATCCTTTATGACTCTCTCTCTCTCTCTCTCTCTGTGCGGAGACAGAATCTTCCAATTCGGGTTTGGTCGGGGATCGGGTCATAGGCCCGATCAACCCATTTAAGGTCTCCTTTTCATCCAATTTGGTAAATTTAAATCTAGGAGATAGAATGTGAGAAAAAAAAATAAAATGTGAAAAAATTTGATTTAACGAAATATTGAATTTAATTTTTTTTCTTTTTTTTATATATTTGGTTGGATTTAGCCTTAATAATACAATCGTTCACACCCATAGTCTTGCAATCTATGTTGCATGGATACGAACATAGAGACGCGAATATGAGACACTTCTATTATTTAAAAAATAGAACAAAAACAAGCATCGAACACTTCGTTATAATAAAAATTATATGTATGTGTATTTGTGTGTTATTAAGAATAATAAAAAAATAAGAAATTTAATAACATTATCTTTCAAAAACTAGGATGTCCATAATGAAAAATATTATCACAGTTGAGCGAGTGAGGAACCGTTCAGGCTCATCTATGAGAAAAGAAAATGACGAATAAGTTTAGCATATAGGTTCAAACAATAAATAAAAAATACTTACTTTTAAATTTTAGTTATAAAGATATTACCTAGATGTTTAAAAAATATTTTTAAAAAGTTTTTTAAATTCCCTAATTTAAGACGTGTTTGTCTGACACGCGTGTCCCTTTTTATTTTGATATGTTTATATCAGACATGTAAGTGACGTGTAGAGTGTTGGCGTCACCAAAATGTTGGATAAAATACCATATGATTCATTAGTTAGAAGCATCCGTGCATCATAGCTTGTCATTAAAAGCACGGATGTTAAAATAAATTAATTAACATGAATATCATTTATTCATGCATGTAAATAATTTGTTTAAGGGTAAGTCAATTATTCAAATTACTTTTAGTTTGATATTATTTAATTATATCATACAACAAAATTCTTTTGCAAAATATTTTCATTATAACATGATGAGTGTGCTTGCTATAGAAAATCTATTGGATAATTTTTTAAAATGATCACATGCAAACAAAATTTTTGTAATTGCAAACTTTTTTTGTGAAAATTTAATAAAAAATCACACCCTAAAGTTGCTTTTAATGCAAAATGTATGATATAAATGTGTTTTACATGAAATTCATTTACATCACGTGTTTCACGTTAAGCACATGCCACACATGCGTTTTACATGAAGCACATGCTGGCCATGATTTTAAGCCTCTCCCACTTCCTATATATTAACCCCTTCCTCTCTTCTATATAATAATAATAATAATAATACTAATGAATTTCATATATATTATCTATGTATTAAGATTGCTAAAATTACTTTCAAATGCAATTTATTCTCTTATTTAAATAATTTGGCCGTTAGATAAATGATATTTTGATTTATTTGAGAAAGAAAATTAGGGGCAATTACGAATAAACCACCCACAACTTGCTATTGACAAGTCAACCACTTACTTTTTTTCATTTTTCAAATTCTCACTCAAATATCAAAATTTGTTGTAAAATCTCGACCCTTACTTTTTCATTTTTATCAAATTCTCAATAGTTTGATCATGACACACGTAAATACATCAGTGATAATTCAAAATATTTACGTGGATGGTTAATTTGTAAATGCCAATGTCTTGGGTGGTCATACTAATAATTTCTATAATGAAAAAGAAAGATAAAAATAAATTTTAATTCTTCGCTCGGTTGATAAATCATCTTTAAATATTGCATTATTATTTTGTTGTAATATCTATATTAACCTAATAATTTTTGCCTTCATTTTCTGAAAAAAAGTAGAATTGGAGCAAACATGAAGAACAAGAAGTTCAAGAAAGCCACAAGTGAGCCTTCCATTGGTTCGCTTCCACTGAACTGCTCGGAGAAAATTTTGCTAGAAGCTATTTTCGACTCTTCATCACCTATCAGTGATATTAAATATTTTTGAAATTGTAAGTATTTATTATTATGAAATTATTTTTTTTACTAATTTGCTTATTTTATTTATATAACTATAATATAATTAATAATAATATTGACTTCTCTCTAGGTACAAGAATTTTCATGCAACATGTTCATCAAAAAGACTAGGAAGGTAAATGGTTATTGAAGATTGGAGCATGTATTGACATGACAAACAAGGATATTTAAGATTTCTTCAGAGTTTTGCTCTTTTCTTGCTTTGATTGGTAAGCCACAAACATTTATTAAATTTTAATAATACAATTCTCAATATTCATTTATAGTATAGATATATGTTACAAAATAATACTCATTAATACAAATATCTAAACATTGCAGGAGGAGATGTTGATTCAAGAAAGAATTGATATTGACTTACATCATCTTCAATTAGGTTCAAGTCGAGGGCGCGTTTCTTCCAAACATATCGTGGGATTAGTGTTGCTATGTGAAGAGACAACTCGCTTGCTTGGTTTTGATCTTTTGAATGAAATATCAAATAAAATAAATAAGTGTCCACAACAAGCTCCAAAGTTCTTCTTGAAAATGAAATGACAAAAATGACATGTATCACCATTTATTTATTACAACAGTTTGTTTTGTGGAAAACTAACTTCGGAAGCTGATAATCTGATAATTGACGACTTAGTGAAGACCACGCAACAAGAAGACTTTGTAGTGACGCTCGTAAATCAACGCATAATTATAACATGTTTGTCAATATGAGATATTTATCATTATGATAAAAGTAGATGCTCAAATTTGCAGCATCAAATATAGAAGTAGATGTCTAAACTACTAGAACTTAACATGATTGGTGAATTTTTTTTAAAAAAAATCAAATTATCATGTATTTTCACTTGATTCTTTGGTTGTTTATCATCCTAAATGTAATAAAACTCTACATTTCCTATTTTTATTACTTTTAATATTTTTCTTGCCTAACTTGAAGTAATATTATTATAGCTTATCATGCTAATTTTGACTTTAAATACCTTAAACCTTTGCACATATTTGATTAATAGATGGAATAATCATGCGATAAATTTTAATTTCAAATATATAAAGAAATATTTGCAATTTGTTGATTTAATGTCTGTTCGTTTAATTGCATACTAGACAAAATACTAGAAAATTAGAATAAAAAATTGAGAATTAGAAAGTCAGAGATGTAGGGTTCATTTGAGGCAACTTGTGCCTTTCAGGATAAGCTGCTTATCCTGAAAAGCAGCCCGCGGGCCGACTGCAGGGGGCGACCTGCGGCCTACGTTTAGTATAAAAACCCAAACGCAGTTTCAGATAAGCTGGCAAAAAACGTGAACCAAACGATACGGCGGCGTTTTGAAAAAGCCGTCCGCACTTATAAGCTGCCCCCAACGGCCCTATAAAAACTAAAACAATTAAACTACAGGCTCAACATTACACATGAACAAGATTTCAAAAATGTTAAAAAAGCCCCAACAACAAAATTGAATTAGATAGTGGAATAATCCATGGCTCAATTTGTTAAGCAAAATTGTTTTTTCGTTGATCAGTGATTCAACTCATATACTTTCTAATTTGTCACAATAAACAATTGCATGTTAAATTGATGTGAAACTTACAAGGTCTTCATTGAAGATACAAGTCAAATATCTAACAAAATAAGCTTCTGATTACATCTGTCAAGCTATACACATTAACAGAAAAGGTTTACCGCCAACTTCAGCTGGCCAGATTACAACTAGGAACTATGCAACAACTAATTACAAAACGTAATTGGTAAATTAGCAGAATCACCCAAAAATTAAATTTTTTTTTTTTTTTTTTTGAAGTGATGGGTAAAAGAATCAGGGTTTGGCTGTTCTATGTTTTGACTTAATGCTAGCCCTACGGATCACATCCCATGGCTTGTGAGGAGCGAAAACACCTGCCTGGGACGCGAAAAATGACTCGAAGCCCGGAGAGTCGAAAGCGAAACCGGTGTGCTTCGACGTCTCTCGAGGAAGCTGAGCAATGGCATAGCTCCTTGCTTCATCTGGAGTGAGGTGATGGCCAACCTCCAGCAATTGCCTCCTGGTTTCTTCTGGATCTTCTCTGTGAATCTCTTGAACAATCTGGTAGTCATAGGGGAACATAAACCTTTGAACCCTGAAAACCAAAGAATGATTTGATTCTATGTTAGATTTTAAGAAGAAAATCATTGATTGCAAGATACTTGTATGGGTAAAATGTTCATACTACACATGGTTATGTAAAATGCTATACTACATAAAATTTTCATTGTACAAAAAATTGAAAAAGCTTGATATAAAAATTGATATAAGACTTCCCAATAAATTGTGGAAATTTACATACATACCACACAACTCTTATGTGTTTACATATCTAACACCCAAAGTTTGATATTTATACTTATAATGCCTCGGCGTCATGGACCTATGCATGAAAAGGTGCATTTCACTTTTGAAAAGATAGTGATGGTGGTGTTTTTGATGTAATGTTAAAAATTTGAGTGGTATGTATTTAAATATAAATGTTTGTGTGTTAGATATGTAAATACATAAGAATTGTGTGGTATGCATGTAAATGCCCCTAAAAATTGAAATTAAAATTGCCAAAAAAATTAGCAAACAGATGCTCCACAAATGCTCGAAGTAACCTGCCGGGCTAAATTTGCAATGTCACACAAAATTGATCAAAGATGGCAACCCAACCATCTCTCTATCCTTCCCCAGCCACCGCCCGCCGAACAAATTCAAGCAAATCAACTATATGAAATAAAATCTCTGCAATGAAATAAATCCTCACCCTTGGTATAAAAAGTCACCCAGCAGCGCCACAACAGGTATTAGCGATAAGGAGAGATAAAAGTAAAATGTGCTCATGAGCACATAAATAACAAAGTATTCATTTTCCTGTAATGAAAAAAAAAAAAATCTAAGTGAGACTACAATACAAATGAAAGACATGAAAAATTGAAAAAAGAGTAAAAAAATCCCGACTTTTTTTGCGAGGGGTCATTTTAGTCCCAGTCTACAAAAGCATCAATTTAATCCCCAAACTCTTTTAAAGGAAGATTGTTTCAGCCCCAATTTAAAGAGTGACGATTAATTTGACACTTTCAAGGACTCTAAAACTAAAATGATCCCATGTAAACAATTAGAGAGCTATTTTGACATTTTATTGAAAAAAAATAGAGAATAAAAACTAAAATAACTCACTTGTCGATCACGCGGGGTCATTATCCCCGAGTATATGAAGATGAACAAAAACCAGGCTAAAATGCTGCCCCAAACGCTTATATGGTGCCATCTAGTTATTGAATTGCATGCCATGAGAAGGCGCAAGTTGACCGTGACAACAATGCAGGTAAAGGACATGGTGCTAACATCCCAAAGCCCAAACAGCTTTCCAGCAGAATTATGACCATTAGAACTCGAAGCTACAGTAAAATAATAGATAATCAATGACTGATATATTGAAAAAAATGCCCATACTGCCACAACTCTCCACGTAAAAAATGTGTTACGAATTCCGGCTTTATAAAGTTCTGGGTATCTCTTTGACAAGGAGGCGCTGACATCCTGGAGAAAAGAAAAGGTTCGAAAATTTGAAAATTTAGGAATAATAATTCCCTTACAGTCTTAAAGAATTATTAGTAGATTACTTCACTATAAAATAATAAAAGTAAAATGTATATAAAAAAAAGTGAGAAAAAAGTCAAAAAGTCCCTTGACTATTTGCATATGGTCACTTTAGTTTGAGTTCATAAAAGTGCTAAATGTCTCCAAACTCTTTTAATGGGGGCTAAAATAGTATTCAGAACTATTTCAGCTCATATTAAAAAATTTTGAGTATACATTTTTATAGACTCTGAAACTAAAATTGCCCCCTCTAAAAAGTTAAGGGACCATTTTGACACAATTCTCAAAAAAAAAAAAAAAGGTTTATTATCAGTTAGCATACCTTGTCAAACAATCCAACAATGATTACAGGCAATGCAGTAAAGATGACGTTATAAAGTGATTGGAACCAATCATCATAATATCTCTGACCAGAAAAGCCAGTTTGGAAGGTGAACCAAAACTGAGTCAACGTGAAGGTAAGGTTCTTGTAGAAAAAATAAGTAATGACCTGAAAAAGAAAACATAACTGAGAGGTTAGAAACAGCGGAATATTCGAATGGCGAGGTTCTATGAAGAGATGAGCCAACCTTGCATAATCTAAGATACGACCATCGACCGTGTACGAGAAGTAAATCTGAAAGAAAACGAAACTGGGCAATTGCAAAATCACTAGCCATTACAGCTTGCATTCCTTCAAGTCCGCTTATGCCAACACCAACATGAGCGGCTTGGATCATGCTCACATCATTTGCACCATCGCCTATACTTAAAGTGATTTTACGTGCGCCTTTCTTAATCAAGCTAGTAACCTTCCAAAGAAAAAAAAAATGGTGCTTTTTAGAGTGAAAAACAGTTAGAATGCTTTCAATTAAAGAGTGCAGGAAAATGCCGAGTAAATGGTTACGGTAAAACTTCAAAGAGGGAAAAAAATTGTAGAAACACCAATTCAAACAATAAAAACAAATGCTGATTGGCAATAGTATTTCAAAAAATCATATAGTACGTGGCCAGGTATGGATCAAACATCATGTAGAACTACAATTAAGATTGTAAATGAGTTGAGCTAAGCTCGAGTGAAACTTAAGTCGAGCTTGAATCATCAAAACGCAAGTTTGAGCTCAAATGGAAAGCTCAAGCTTGACTTGCAAAAATAACAATAGGCTTGTGAGCTTGAGCCAAAAATCAACTTGCCATGGGAGCTCGTTGGGGAAGACATCTAAATGATTGGTGGCTAGAGAAGTATATGAAATGCTGCTGGGCATCGGCATGACCAGCGATTGGCTAGTCGAGCAGGCTAATGTGCTTATGAGAACCTTGACAAGTTTGAACTCAAGCTTGTTTAACAAATGAGCGGAAGAGCTCGAGCTTGATAAGCTCAACTCTTGAGCTCATTAATAAACCGAGTTCCAGTCAGCTCAAAAGCTAGCTCGGCTCACTTACACCTCAAAAATACAATAGCATGGAAACATTTCTTGTTTGATTAAGAAGCAGTAAATTCATGCATAAAGATGCCAAAAACATAATACCTCATTCCATTTGAATGTTAAGAATAACTCTGTTTTCTGTATAAACACAGATTTTCATGAAAGAAAATGTGCAATACAAAACTTAAGCAAGGCATTTTGCAAGTTGGCTTCATAAGAGAAACGATGTCCACATTCCAAATTCATCACAAGGGAAATTGTTTTAGGATTAAAGATTTAAATAATAGAAAGCTTAACAACAGTGTAATGGATGAATACAATAGATATGTACCGCTGACCATTTTTAGGTTGAAGAGAGATAAATATGAGAACATTAGCAAACAAGGCCTTACGCAGGGGGAAAGCTAGTCTATAAATTCAGTTAATCATCGATTTACTATGAATACAAGTTATAATTAATAAGAAAGATAGTCCTTCCCATTCAATGATTCATGAAAGCAATATATACTTGGCCTACATCATGAGCCCGCTAACTGAAGCATTCATATTTTGCTATGGAGTTTTTGATAACTAATCCAATCCTCTAATCTTACTTGGAACATATTATTATAAAAAAAGCAACAAAATATATGACAAATCAAGGAAAAAAAAAATACTTGGAATGAAAAATTTTTCCTCATTGCAAGAAGATAAATTAGACACAAATATTAATCAATTTAAAAATCCTGCAAGTTCAAGATGAAAAAAATATATTGTGCACAATTATTGGCAGCTTTTAAAATCCCGCGAAGTAAAAGATGCAAAAGAACCAAGTTTCATAAGTAATCAATTCAATATAAAACTAAGAGTTCCATGAAGCTTTTCCAAGAAAGCGTAGCAGGCCCTAAAATCGGCTGACAGCAATGAGACTACAATGATCTTAAATACCTACGATACATCTAAATGCTGAAGGATAAACGTCGATATAATGATTAGTAGTTCATTTACAGCAAAAGGTGTAAGATGTGAAATTTAAACTAAAAGTCTACCACCACAGAACCAATACCTGTGCTTTCTGCAGAGGAGAAACACGACAGCAAACTACCGAACTGCAATTCAAGCTCAACTTGAGAAGGCTAACTCGCAAAACTGGATCCAACGCATACATCAAACATTTACCATCAATTATAAGAGTCAATTTGACTTCATATGGAGAACGGAGGGATTGCTGCGCCTCCTCTAGATACCTGTCCAGTTCTTGCTTAACAGTATCTTTGATTACGCGTGCAATTTCTACAGGATCGCCCTGGTATTGAACTATAAATTCAATATGCATTGATTTAAAATAGAATAATTTTTTTCAAAAAAAAAAAAAAATCAAAATACCAAGAATTGAAACCAAGAATTGAAACCTTCTTTGAAATTAGTGACTTAAGTATGATGACTCAAAATTAATAAATAGAAAAATGGTGGCATAATGTGCGCAAAATCATATCAAATAATATATGTAGAATTACATCAATTAACATAAGTTTGAATCATATAGCCATTTTTTTTTATTCAGGCAACTGGATTTATATCTTTAGAAAAAAAGAATTGAGTAGCACCAATCAACTTGCTAAAAGTGGATATAAAATCAACTCATTCCATATCATTCCACTGTAGGTTAAGCTTACCCTATCTTCAGCATCTCTGATCAGATCTGTTTCTGAACTGATGATAAATTGTTTCATCCCATTGTTAATCAAATTGCATGCTGCATCGGAAAAAAAAACAAAAAATGCTTACCAGCTGCATATATTCAAAAATTTCAACATGACAAAGCAAAAAAATAATCATAATAACCACATACAACTAAAACATAAGAAAATATAAATTTGAGTATACAGATATTCAGTAAACTTGATTGACGTGTTAATCAAACTTACCATACGCAATATTGATAGCAGTTTCCATCTTATCCCCAGTTAATACCCATAGCTTTATGCCAGCTCTAGATAGAGTTTCTATGCACAAAGGTACACCTTCTTGAAGTTTGTCTTCAATAGCAGTGCAACCAATTAGTACAAGATCCTTCTCAATAAGCTCCGCAACCTAAAAAATAGCTTAGAAGATTATCGCAAAAATACTATCAAGTTTACCATTAAAGAATTAACATTTCATAAGAAAATGAAATAGCGCATCAGATAAAGACGTTACCTGAGCATAAAAGGTAAAAAATAAAAATAAAAAAAAAAGAACTTTGAGCTACTACGTAGAAGCAATGTAATGTTCAGAAATCAGCATCAAGTGAAAGAGCATGTGAGTTGCAATACATAGAGAAAAATAAATAAATAAATAAATATGTATGGAGGAAATAGTTAAAAAAAGGCATAAGACAGTGCCATATGTAAAAGGGGCTGATATGCCTGACCCATTGACTTACATAGTCAACGAATGTCCACTGAAGCACCCTTATAAGAAAGATGGGAACACTTGTACGATGTGTTATAAAAATAAAAGCATGAGTACAGATTTTATTTTTGAGAGAAACCAACTAGTCGGGAATGACTCTGTAGACCGCAATCTGACAAAAATCCTTCACACAGACACTTGAGGCTGGAGGCCTGACCCATTGGCTAACATAGTCAACGAATGTCCACTAAAACACCCTTATAAGAAAGATGGAAACACTTGTACGATGTGTTATAAAAATAAAAGCATGATTACAGATTTTATTTTTGAGAGAAACCAACTAGTCGGGAATGACTCTTTAGACGCAATCTGACAAAAATCCACAATTCGTTCCCTCAACTTCATCTATCTCGCTTGCACCTTTCGGATCTTGAATGCAGGTCTCAGACACATAATTTTCAGATATGTGATAAAGACTATCCAAAACGATAATCACGTCTCAATAGGGACATTTGAATGATCCTCATCTGCCCTACTTTCCCAATTCAACCTTTTTAAGGCAAAAGTCACAAAACATTATTTTTGTATCCTTATCCCACATTGTGGATGAATTGACCTCTTCGGTCTTTACCATTGTGTGTACTAACATGAAAAAAACTAAATAACATAGATTTTATCTGCAAAAAAATATTAACCCCAATTCAAATAAAAAAAAGGAATGCCACAAATCATCGACAATGTCTTTCCACACCAACACATCAAGAGCTCCAATACCACCGTCTCCACACACCAACACATCCAAAACAACACTACAATCAACTTCACACACACAATACATCCACAACACTAATACCACCAACACCTCCACAACACCAACTCATCCACAATACTACTACCACCAATTCCCCACTAACCACCTCACATCCACCAACACAAACACAACCACACACAAACCATAACCTCCACACACCAACCACCACATACCACCACCTTCTCAAACACACACAAACACACCCAACATCACCAACCACCACCACCTCACCCACACGCCAACCACCACCACCTCATCCCCACACAAGCACATCCACCAACATATACACATCCACCCACCAACCACCCTACAACACCACCTCCACCTCCACATCCACCATCACCAACACATCCACAACCACACCTACATCCTTCAACACAACACCACCTCACCCACACATAAACACATCCACCAACATATACACATCCACCCACCAACCACCTTACAACACCACCTCCACCTCCACATCCACCCCACAACGACCCTTCCACCCAACAACGACCCTACACCACCACCTCTACATCCTTCAACACAAACACATCCACCTCCACAACCACCACATCAGCACCATAATTCAACATCAATCGAAGGTACGGTGATTGAGTAAACGGAAAATCATAATCCACCATCAACCGAAAGGCACACCTTTGCACTTATTTTCACCCTAAATCAAGAACAAAAAAAAAAGAACATAAAACAGAAATCCAACATCAACCGAAGGCCAACACTCATTTCCAAGTCGTTGCATGTGAAATTCCTAAAAATTCCAAAATCCAAAATCAACCAAAAACCAACGAAGCATAAGCATTTGCCAAATAAAAAACCACAAAATTATGGAGCACAAAGAACCAGAAGGTAGGCATTACCCAACACGAAGAGTAACCACCGCACAAAGAAACCAACGGTTTCTTGAGCAGAAAGACATTAGCAAATCAAACGCCATAGCATAGTTAGGGTAAAGATCACCCAACACAAAGAAGAACCATTGCACAGAGGACCCACCGCAAAGAGAAAACCACAACAATCTCAGGCACATACATATTTCCAAAATAGAAAAACAAGAACATAGTCAAAGTAAAGATTACCCAACACGAAAAGGAATCATCGCACAGAGAAACCACAACTCAGATGAACTTCAATAAAAAAAATACCGCATGAAGAAGAACCACCGCACATAGATTAAAAGATCCAAACAGAGCCGCAAAACAGAGAGAGGTGAACCCATTGAAACAATTAATCCAGAAAAGAGGGAGAGACACAACGCTATCTGTGAGAATTGTGAGAGAGAGGGGGGAGTTGAGGAAAATATCGTGAGAGAGGCAATCCGATGAAGATCACAAGAGAGAAGAGAGGTGATAGGGCATGAAACACAAGAGAAAGGATCATGGGAGAAGAGAGGGGTAGCCCCATCACATGTATATGAAGGAACGAGGGCCGCAGGGTTGAACCCGAGGCCGTACTTCCTTCAGCTTATTCCTATAAGAAGTCGCACCGAAGAATCCAAGCAAGAGAGATTCACATTCCCTAGTCGCGACGTCCCCTAAACGCTGCCCCAAACATGGTGTTAGAATCCCAAAGCTGGTAAACTCGAACTGATCGAGTCCTTGAGGATTGTTAAAGATATTGGTATAGGAAAGAACAAGTCATTAGACCATTGTCTAGTTAGGAGAGTAGGTAGAGTACTACAAAGACCGCTGAAACATTAGACAAGTAATGATAAATAGTAATATAAGCTGGTATGAACTTTTACAAATGGGGCACCAAGGACCTAGAAACTATTAAGAATGGAACATGTCGGAAACAAATGACACCATCACTTATGGAGTAAACTAGCTATAAAACATGGATCACTTTAAATTGGCTGCTATGTTCATGTCGAAAATGAAACATGTATCTGTCATGCTCTAACATAGCTCAACATACTTAGGACATGTTCCAAACTTTTAAATTTAAAGCATGATTGTTGCTCCCATCCTGTGCATTCCGAGTTTCACCAACTTCGCATCCCAAACAATATTTTTCACATCAAATCCTTTATCAATTTTGCAATGGCAACACAACCTCGTGTTTGCCACTCTTTACAACAATTGTATGAGTTGTACTTGTTGATCCTTTTGCAAGTGCAAGCTGTCTTTGCTGATCCTCCCAACCGTGTAGCTTCATTCTCTTAATAGTGGCGCATACTCAAACATGCCTGTTTGTAAGCCCTTTCATGTATTTTTTTTTTTTTTTGTAGAATTCCAACAATCTCAGTCATTTAACCAAAGTCTTCATAGCAGCAACTATCATCTCTGCCATCATTAATAGCCCTCCTTATTTTCAGATCTTTTCACAACTTATGCATTTTTCCTGGTTGTTTGTCTTATTTTCTTATCAAACTAAAAATTATTCAAGATCTTTCCATCTCCTCCAAATATTTATGCGTTTATTCTAATATTTCAGGCTATTTCATGAATTATATTGTAGGCCTAGTTAAATTTAAAACATTAAATTTATTAAATCAATATATTAAAAAAAAAAAAACCTAATTGATATATTAAGGGTGCATTTGACAAAACTTTTTTCCTGCAGCGTGGCACAATAACACAGATTTTCTGTTTGGTTGTGTGGTGACGAGACCTCTAACCCGCGTTCGCTACTTTGTGGTTTCGATATTACCTCAATGCCCCCAGTCTCCATTCGAGCAACCATGGCAAGGGCGAGCAGATGCCTTTAAACTTCAGAGATGAATGGTGAGAGCGAGCATGGTGTTGCATCTCATGGACGTGGGCGCCATTCGTAAGGCCCTTCTTGACATCTTAGTTTGCCTCAAGCAGCCATTGAAGTTTGTCTTCAGCTTCGTCCATCCTTTCGTTGTTTTGAAAACATTTTCAATTGACAAATGTTTCATTATTTTGGTCGATTCCACATTTCGTTGAAGTATTGTTGGAAAAAAGATCTCTCATTAGCAATGCAATCGACGTTTCTTTCCCGATAGGGTTTTTTTCCCCAATTCTAGAACAGTCATCACCCTATCTGTGATTCCCAGTTGAAATTACAGTGAGGAAATCCACCCATTTGTTTCTCTACATTCAATTGGAAGGTTCAGGATCTCATAGTTCTTGCAACAAAGCTCTTAGTCCTGTATCTGAATTCATTTCTGAGGAATACATATTTGCGGGCACTATGCTTAATAGAAGAATTGTTCTTTACATTTCATTTAGTTCAATCATAACAAAAAAACCATGAAAGTCAAGGAATTTTGAGCATCAACTGTTATGTATTTTCTTTGATGTTTTAAATTTGGTCCGAGAGATTGTTTAAAAAAAAATCCTATCAAAACCAATAGAACATACTTGAATATAAAAATGCCCAATGGTGGAACTAAGGAGAGATAGGGGTAAGTCGCATTAAAAAAATTGTTTTTAGTTGTAATATTCGAACTTCTAAGGTTTTTATGGATTTTGAATCTAATTTTTGTTTTCATGTATAAATTATACAATCTGAACTGATCTTGTTATAAAATGCCCATCAATAAAGGGACATGAATGTTTATTTATCATAAACAACTGCAACACAGATGTTGTACAACTGCACAAAACAAACAAAAACACAACTTTCCTGCAGCAGCTTCTGTGCAACAGCTACTTAGCATAGCTATTGCGTCAACAACTTTTTAAAAAGCTGTGGTTGTCCCAAGCAGACTCTCAATTTGAATAAAGTTTATAGATCCCTTAGACTTAAATCATACTTGTACATGTTTTTAATACTTAATAGGCATATTGATACTTAGCATTTTATATCTTAAATAATCTTTCTTAGATTTACAATTGAATAAAAAATAGTGGTAAGCTTATTTAAATAAGCTTAAATAATCTAAATTAGTTTATTAACAAGCATATATTGGAAAATATATTATTAATTGATACTTAATATCTTAAAAAGAGCCTATTAAACACTTAGAAGTAGGACAATAAAACATGTGTTCAATATATTAATAATTTTTTTATAACCTAACATTCAAACTCATTTAACATCATCCGTGAAATTGTAATTTTATAAAATTTACCAAGCCTTTATGGATCTGTTCTTATTATATAAACTATTAAGTCACTTTTCCATCAGAAATATCCAAATATTAACTCTAGAAATTCTGCATTACGGATCTCTTCATTCTTTTACAAAATAGATCCAAGATACTATATAACATAATAGGTATCATCTCATCTTTTAATAATATTAAATGAACTTGTTAGCATCATTCCCACTAAAGCTGCATATCATATATTTACTTGTTTTACTAATTCTAACAAGTATCTTCAAAGCACTTTCTACATTGCTTTAATTTTTGATTTACATCAACAAATTTCTCACCAGTTATAATTATATCATATGTAAAATGCATAAATCATAACACCACACTTTGAATTTATTATTTAAACAACTCCATAAGCAATTAATAAAAATGCAAGCACAACTTTGATCTTTGATGTAAATTATAGTAATTTGAAAGTCATGGATTACTTCACATGTTTTAATATTAGTGACCCTATATGCCTATATTATACATAACTTAATTAACATCAATATGTATTTGAATAGTACATTTCTGTCTTAGAGCCCATCAAATCAATTCTCATAGTGCTCAGTCACATGATTTCCTAAAATAAATAAAAATCAAAATAAAATACTTTATTTTTTTCTATATAATTCTCCATTAAATGTTGACAATACAAAAATCAATTCTATAATAGATATTCATCGTGCAAAATAAATATCTATTTTTTAAGCAAATCATAGTAATGAATGAATTATATTAAAGAACTTTAATATGCAAATATACCAAATAAGCAGATGTATTGAGTAATTGCGGGTTGTTGGATCCTTGCTTAAAATTTTGCAATATGAGACGTGCCTTGAGACTCGTCTCAACGCATTTTAGCAAAAATGACAAACAAGCTTACACCTCATCGTCCCAAGGTGAGATATGTCGTGCCCCACCAGAAAATAAAAAAAAAAACCGCCTCAAATTTTTAGACTATCAAAATAAAAAAGTAATATTAATATATCTCATCTATTATCATTCACCTCACAAAAGTAAATAATATTAAATAAAATGGAAATGTATCTATAAAAAATTATGTAGTTGAAATTCTAATTAACAACAAGCTTATAATTTTAATTAATACTTTTACTGATGACTATTCATTAAAAAAATAAAAATAACTGGTATTAAAGATAAAAAAAATTAGAGAATATCGATATGTATAAGGATAAGGCATAGGAAAAGTAATTCATTATGCCAATAATTCTAATGAAAATCATTTGAGTTAAGAGATTAATAAGGAATTTTAAATTAAAATTTCAAATAGTGATGATTTGTTATATTCTTGTTTAATTGAGGGGTAATCTAAGTGAAATAGATATTAACGTTGAGCTTATTTTAATTGTTATATTTTGACATTTTAGTATTTTATTTTAATATCTTAGCTTAGTTTGATATTTTTTTAATTTGATATTTAGTTGTATGCATAAACTTTTTTATTTTATAATTTGATGTTAGGACATTAGCATTTTGCTTCTAAATTTACGTAATCTATTAATTTTGAACTAGTTAAAATATTTTTATATTGGTTTTTAATATGTTAATAAATTAGAATGCTAATATATTATTCTTGCTTCACACTTTATAGTTCATCCAATATTTATTAATTTATATATTTTTTTTAAATTTGAGGCTTGCGCCTTAAAAATGTTTTGAGGCTTACGCCTCACCTAATGAGTGAATAACACCTCAATACCCAAGTGCACATTTTTAAACAATGGTTGAAATATTAATATACTGAAGGATAAACAAAAAAAGCTAGTGCGAAATCTTGAGATAAAAAAGTAATTATATATAACTAAATCCCAATCCGTTTACATAGAAGTATAGTGGAGAGTTAATAGAAAACCAGTACTAAGTGCTTTCAGGTCTTCAGTTCTATACTTACTCTTTTCAGATATAAACTTGAGCATAATAGAGGATATATGGTGGGATAGGACTGCATGTTAATAATTAAGCAGAATAGAAACCTTCAAAATCACAAGGAATGGGCTGAATTTCCTGGAACATAAAATAAAAAAATGCAAACTAAGTCGGACCAGGCCAGAAGAACTGATCTGAAAGAGGTACATAAGAGAAGGATTTCAAAGATTCCCTCATAAGTCAATCAATAGCACTCACAAGCATATAGTTGCTATAAACAGACATCTCAGGAAAAAAAAAGGTAAAAAAATAAAATAAAATAAAATAACTTCAGCATGGAAAAACAATTCTCCTAGTATGTACCTCATCAAGCTTCTTTTCACGATCTCGCAAGGAAGATTTGGCTTGAATAAATTTCTCATTCCATTTTTCATATAGTTCAGTTGTGAGTTCTCGATAGGCAAGGCAAAGTGTACGCAATCCAGAAGAGCCAAACTGTTCTAGATGTTCCCTGGTTAGCTTTTTAATTTCATTGTTTCTGTATGCTAATCTCTCATAGATGACCGTGTCAGCACCCTATGGAGACATTTTCAGATTTGAAATACATGGAACTTAAAAATAAGGACATGAACACATCCTACTTCAGAAAAAAAAAATACCTTGCAATACAATACAAGTCTGCCATTTGGATAACGGCAAACAACAGACTGTCTTTTCCTTGTGCTATAGGCAGAAAGAAGCACATTAGTAAACAGCAAGTATTCAATGGTATCATTATGAAAAATTTATATCAAAATATGTTCACCTGTTAAATTCTAAAACATTTAATATCTCATATGTTACATCTTCGACGCTGCCCACCTTTTCAATATTTGCCTCACGAACCATGATTGAAGTTGGTGTGCGCCTACAAAATTAATTATTCACAATCATGAACAAAATTACTTGTCCCATAGCAACAAATGGCCGTGTATAGCACTATGATCATACATAGCACTCCCTAGACCTCTAAGACAAAAATATCACCTTCTAGCCTGAGTAAGTATTCATGCAAAGTTCCTTAAAATCCTATGAACGAATGATTTTCAGAAAATGCATACTCAAGTATGTGTGCTGAGTCATGCATGGTTGGTAGTGCCCAACCTACCTAAATAAATTAAGAGACTTCAGTTCTCAGCCACAAATCATGGAAAAAGACAGCCTTTTGCCCCTAAAATTTCATGATTATGTAGCTAAACTCACCACTGCTAACTGTTGTAAATTAAATGTAGACTACTAGAATTCGATCCAAGTTTGCTAGAAAAGGTTGGCATTATGAGTTAATCATTTTAAAGTTGGGACAACTATGAAAACATAAATTAAAGTTTTCATTTATGTTATATCAGACCGTGCATATGTATGTTAACAGACATGTCTGAACGTATGTTTTGTGTTGGGGCACTAGAAAAAAAGGTTCATTTTTAATGGATGGGCATAGTCATTTCATGTGCTATATAAATTTCTTTTTTCCTAACATCTATCCTTGTACTTAATGGTCAAGCCACCATAACGCTCAAATCTTTCTGAACAGGCATGCATGCAAAAGCTTTCTGCAGTCTAGATAAATTCTTCAGTATGACCGCATTGACCTAAATCAGAACCAGATAGGGTCAACCAAATAAATGAGAACAAGGACAGACCTGTGGGAAACAAATTGGTAATTTTAGGAAGAAAATCCAATAATAATGGCTAGTTGAAAACCAGTTTGGTTTATAGGGTCAAGTTCTCCAACCATCAAGCTAAGCGGAGAAATAAAACTACGAAACAAGTATAACGGTTAGCAACACAAACAATAAAGATTTTTTTGAATATATTTTGGACCTTATTTTCTGTTTTATCTCCCACCCCCAAACAAAAAAAAAAAAAAAAAAAAAAATTGTTTGTTGCAAGTAATATGACTTATAAATAATGATATTTTCAAAATTATTGCTATAGGTGCATAAAATAGCTAGGTCCAAAGGGGCCACTGAATTCGCTGCCTTGTTTAAGTAGTAATTTTAAATTTTATGGTGCATAGTGATTATTTCTCAAACAAAGTTCTACCTATTGCAGAAATCCATCCAACATGTCTCCAACATTAATATACCCAACATGGTTATGAGAAGGTGCAACAAATGTATTGAGAGAAAAAACATATAGGGACTGTTTTACCAATGACCAGCACCGCCGAGCCAATTTCCATCTATATTATCTTAGGTCTAACTTTTTTTAATTCTTAATCTTTGGATGATAATTTTATTTATTAATCTATTGGTGCATTTTCTACAATTCATTATGCATATCCAAACTACCTAAATATATTCTCAATTGTCTTATCTTCAATGTATATTATTCTAATATTTTCTTCAATATAATCATTGCATAATTTATCTTTCCTAATGTTGCAACAAATCCATCTTTGCTTTCCCATTTCCATCACATTCAGCTATAATTAACTTTATTTTTACTGCCCGACACACCTATTTATACAGTAAAGATGACTTATAGTTTTATTAAAATTACCCTCAAATCTTCATGCTAATCCTTTTATCGCTGCTCTTAAGACACTCCACATCGGCCACCTAAAATTAACAATTGAAGTAACTTACACCTTATATCCACATATTTTACCTATCACACCAACTAAAATTGCATTTCATAAATTATTAATTCAAAATCATCTATATTCTAAGCAGTTTATCCATTGCTCTAATTGTCCATTTATTTCAGCAAAAGCCTCGTCAATTAAACTACCATTTATGAAAAACATGCATCAAAACACCTTTGAATATTATATGTAAGCATCTCCAAATCCACCAAAAAAAGAAAAAAAAAACTTGATGTTCATCCTTGATATAATTCTATTGCAGTTGACAACTCATTAAACATCTTGATTGAATAAGAAAATAAAGTACCAACAATTGATTGACTAATTAAGAAGGCCAAGTACCCAACACTTCGACCTAGCAAAAGAAAATAGTTGTGTCAAAAAAAAAAAAAAAAACTCGATATTCACAAATATATTGTTGGCTCCATCATTGTTCATGTTGAGTTCCTTCATTAAGCAAGATGAGTTTGGCCTAAAACTTCCGAACTCATTTACTAAACGAGTTGATTACAATATCGAGTACAATATAAAAAAAATACAAAATATATAAATATACATATATGAATACATATACAAAGATTCCTTTTACTCATATTATTATTTTAAAAATATCAGATGTAATAATAAATAAAATAATATTTTAAATACTAAGAATCTTAAAGGGCGTTGATCCATAACAAACCACAATGTTTTCGTGTGAGCCTAGAACGAGATACTATAGCTAGATTGAAGAATGATTCAGGAAATTCTTTTGGAAGTTACTATTTATCTATCAATTAAGGAACCTCAAAGTAAGACTGGTATAGTTTGGAGAGCGATGATCTAATTTTCAAGATATTGATTCCAAATTAAGATCGAAGTTTGATTCCAAATTTTGAATACACATTGGATCAAAAGTAAATAAAATTTCCACCATTGCACTAGAATATATGATTTATCAAATGAAAGATGCCCACTGCTATGATTGTTCAGAGATTTCCTCAATTATGAATGTGCTCTAAATCATTTCAATAAAGTTTGACCAAAGATTTTGTTTCGCCCGCAACCCAACCAGTCCAAGCGGGATTGGTCGAGCAACAGGCGAGTAGGCCGCCCGTCTCACCTAAGTGTTGAACAGCTCGACATCTGGAGAATCCAGCGACCGAATTAGCAAACGAACAGAAGGGCGTTAATCACGTATGCAAGGAGGAGAAATCGAAAGAATTTGGTAGAAAAATTAGGAGAGAAAGTTTGAAATATTGTGGGAGAATTATATTATAGGGAATAACCAAGGGTTTATCTTTCTTTATGCATGTTTTGTTGGCTGATGCTTTCTTTTCCTCTGGTGATGTTCCTTGCGATGTCTAGGATTGTGGAAGAGACGATCTACCTCTCAAAAAGTAAATCCTCATTGTATCTTGCTAGTTTTCGTTTGATTTTCGTAAGAACAACCCTCATTTGAGTTTTTTTCCATCTATTTATTGTCGTTTCGTCATTGTCTACTCTATGATTTTGGTTCCGGAACATATCAAAATTGTATTAGAGCATAGATCTCGGAGGGATGACAATAAAAAAAGTGAATGGGCGGGAAGGAGAGATAGGACAAATCAGATCAGGAATCGAAGAAATGTTCGCCATCATGGAGAAAAAGTTTTATTCCATAAAAAGTTGAATGAAAGCTGGGTTTGAGAGCATAGGATAAATGTAGGAGATGATGAAAAAGCTCATGGAAATGCAGTCCAAGGCCATGTCAACCGCTCCGGTTATAAATCCTAACCAAGAGTTGATTAGGAAACCTCGACTAGGTCAAAAGGGAAGAAGATCGAAAGACAAGACGAGGAAGACATCATCTACCACCAAGAGCATCCCCTAGGACTTCGAGAGGAGGGGGAAGATCGAAAATTGGAGGGATGGTGTAAGGGGAACGAAAGAGCACGGTGGAGGAAGGAGGGAATTAAGAGTTGGGTATGCCTATTGCCGGAGGAGGGAGTTCAAACCTAGATACATGGGAGGAATACCCGAGGAAGAGGAAGTTAGGGTGAAGATGCAAGGGTCGGAAAATTGAAGATGTCGATCTTTGAAAGGGAAGATGCACATGGGTGGGTGTATCGGGTGAAGCAATAATTTGCATTCAACGAGTTAATTGAGGAAGAGGAGCTCATGACAGCGGGATAATGTTCGGAGGGAAAGACTTTAGTGTGGTTTCAGTGTATGGAGGCATGATATCTGATGCACTCATGGGAGGAGTTTAAAGATTTCTTGTTGGAGTGTTTCTGAGCCATTCGGGAAGGAAACCTACAAGAGCAATTCTATGCTCCGACTTAAAAGGGTACGATTATGGAATACCGAGAGAAGTTTGAGCTCTTGTTAGGGAGTTTGAGGGGTATTTATGTGGCAAGATTGAAAGGAAACTCCTTGCATGGCCTAAAGTCTGACAAAAGAGCAGCTATCTGACCCTTGAGACTGCATGGATTGAGGGAAATGATGGAGTTTACCTAGATGATGGAGGATAAGAAACAGGTGAAAAGACCAGTAAATGCGGCAACATCGAAGGATTTTACAAGAGAAAATTGATAGTCACGACACCGCGGACCCAGACAGTGTCATTTCAGAAAGATATTCCGAAGGAAAAGAATACCGGGGCCCGTCCCGATGGTAATTTCAAGCTCTTCATCAATGCATAATAGGCATAAAAGAGCAAAATGATTATGTTACAGTTGTGATGAGAAATATGCCCCAGGCCACAATTGCAAAGAGCACACTCTTAAGATTCTTTTAGTTCAGGAGGAGGTGAGGAATCAGAGTAGAACGTGGTGGAGGAGGAGCATCTGTATTTGAATGTAGCGGAGGTGTCCTCAATTCGGTGGTGGGATTTATCCCGAATCACATCATATAGGAGAGGTGGATTAGGGAATAGCTGATTAGGCGTTGTTAGATAGTGGGGCCACACAAAACTTTATCTAAAACTAGATCGTGAAGTTAGGGTTGGAGTTAGGGTTGGAGCTGGTGACAATTGAGAGCTTCAATGTCATGATGGGGAGGGGAAAGATAAGGTGGAGAAAAGTCAGAGAATTTGCAAGGGGTTGGTTTTGACACTACATGGCCTACAGGTGGTGGAGCACATCCCTTGGATTTGGGTAGCGCAGATGTGATTTTAAAGATGAAGTGGCTGCGAACGCTTGGGGAGATGAAGGTGGATTAGAAGTCCCTGGCGAAAGAGTTCCAAGTGGAGTGTGGAAGGTAATGCTAAGAGGAGATGTTGGTTTATGCAAAACTATGGTGTAACTCAAAAAAATGGTCAA